TTTGTCAAATTGTTCCTTTCTTTCATCAGTGTAGCGACCCGTAGGTACAAAGTCAGGAGGTGTCCTATTCAACTTTGGGAGAGTGTCAAGAGGATTCCCTTTAATATCACGAATTATTCTGAATTTATCTGGGAGGTCTTGGTATACTGCAATACTTTCCATTCCTCCACTGATTCCTACCGGATTCCGCGGATTCCGGCCGGAATCCAGGAATTCCGCGGAATTCCAGGAATTCCGTGGATTCCGGCCGGAATTGACAGGAATCCGGCCGGAATTGACAGGAATCCGACTGGAATAGACAGAAATTTCAGTACAAATCTATACTTCTCGATTCCCCCTACAATTCCACTTTAGCTAGATGTCATATGACTTAATCTGCACTTATCAAGACCTCCTGAATTACTTGTGTAATGCAGTCAGTCAATCTATTATTCTATTCTATGCTGATAACTTAAACTTAGAAATTGCTTATGATATTCAAATTTGAACATAAGTAATTCAGGTGTATTCACTAGTACTACATGAGATTATTCTACTACAAAATTATCTTACTACATAGAGTGTTAAAGGGAGGGGGGAGGGATGGAGGGGAGGGGGAGAGGGGTGAAGGAGAGAGGGGTGATGGGAGAGGGAGTGATGGGGAGAGGTGGTGGGGAGTGATGGAGGAGGGAGGGAGTGATGGAGGAGGGAGGGAGTGATGGAGGGGAGGGAGTGAAAGAGGGGGGGGGGAATGGAGAGAGAGGGGGCATGGAGGGAGGGAAGAGGGACAGAGGGAGGGAAGAAGGATGGAGGGAGGGAAGGAGGGAGGGAGGGAAGAGAGGGAGGGTGGATGGAGTGGTGGGGACTGATGGAGGGGGGAGAGTGTGGTGGGGAGTACTGCGCCGTCGTTGTCCGTTGACGTGGGCGTCGTCTGTTGATGTGGTGGCGGTCCGTTGACGTGGTGGTGCGTGGGTCGTCTGTTCGCGTGGCCCTCCGTTGACGTGGTGGGGCGCTGACGTGCTGTCCGTCCCTCGTTGTGGGCGTGGTCGTCGTTGCGTCGCGTTGTCGTTGTCGCGTTGCCGGTCGTGTCGCGTTCTGGTTGTCGTGTCGCGTGGTCGCGTCGTTGTTGTGTCGCGTCGTTGTGGGTGTCGTG